GAGGAGCCCCCAGGTGGGACGGAAGTGGAGGCCCCCTCTGCCCCTGCCTGATCCGGGCCCAGGGGTGGCTCCTGCAGCCATTGTCACTCCCCCTGCCTCCCGGGTGACGCTCCCCTGCCTGTGCACGACCTGCCACCTCCTCCAGGTCTGACTGGCATCCTGGGGGCCCCGGACCAACTCTCTGAAAACCATGGTTTGGGGATGGGTGGGTGAGGCCCCCCGACAGCGAGGGCCCAGTGGGGCTGGACTCAGCAGCTGTTTGCGGAGGCTGGGTGGTTCGGGTGCTGTTGTTGACATAAACCCCGAGGAGCGAAGCAGGCCCCCTTGATGGCAGCGGGACCGAGATGGGCTCAGGGTACATTCTGTGTCCCTGAGTGCTGCCAGCGCACGCGGGGGGCTCTGGGAAGGTGATGCAGTGGCAGATTCTCGCTGGGGACGGCATTTGCCTGCTTGGACGAAGTGGTGACACGGGCTCTGGGCAGGAGACGGAAGGTGAGCAGGACCGTACACAGGGTGGGGGTGAGCCGTGTGGTCTCCTGGGACCCCGGCTTCCCCAGGAGGGCAGCTGGTGAGGAGTGAGGGCGGGGGTCAAGATGCCCATCCGAGAGAAGCCGGGGTGGGAGGGGGAGGGGAGAAGCCTGTGCTGCACCAGGTGGAGGGCCGGACCCTGGGGTCTGCCCCAGGCTGTCGGATGGAGGCCGAGGACCCCTGTGAGCATCCGTTCCCTTCCCCCGTCAACCCCTCCCCGTACTCACTGTTGCCGCACGGCCGCCCACCTCGCCAGTCCTGGCCTGTGTCCGCCCAGCAGTTCCGGGTCCGGGTGGGGTACTCGTTCCCCGCCTTGGAGAAATTCCCCACCTGGGGACCGTAGTAGACCCCCTGGGAGCCGAGCCCACCGAAGCCGGCCACGTGGGGGTAGCCGGAGAGGAGGCTGCTGTTCGGCGCGGCCACGGGCCTGCTGAGGATGTCCGTGATCCCGTGCGGGGTCCCGGCAGGCAGCTGGGGGCCCAGCCCCTGGGGGCTGAGCTTGTAGAAGGAGTTCTGCACAGAGTACTGGCACACAGGGGCCTTCACCTCCGAGAACTGAGCCAGCGGCGCGTTGTTCAGCAGGAACGGGCCCTGCAGGTTGGACTCCATGGCCCCGCCAAAGGGCCAAGGGGAGGTGGGAAGCCCAAATCCAGACCCCTAGAGCCCCCGAGCTCCGGCCCAGAATCCCATGGCAGCTCCGGAGGGTCAAAGCTGCCAGAGCCCCAGGCCGCCCTCCCACCCAGGCATCCAGCCCAGCCCTTGCCCGGGGCCGCGACCACGTCAGCCGCGGGAAGTCAGGTGCTCCCAGGGCAGGTGCGAGCCCTCTGTCCCTGCCGGGCCTGGGAAGAGGCGGCTCCCCCCGCCTCAGCTCAGGCCCCTTCTCTGCCTCAGAGTCTAGGGATCCTCCATGAGAAGTTTCAAGTTCAGAGAAGCAACATTTCCCTGATAAAGATGGGGCCCATTAGAATACAGACCCGAGACTGGCTGAGCTGCTCCAGCCGCGTCGCCATTGGTGGAAACCCTCACGGGCCTCACATTGGCTTTTCCTAGACAAATTGCACTTTGAAAGATTGACTGTAAAATCAGCCAGCGTGTGTGTGTGTGTGTGTGTGTGTGTGTGTGTGTGTGCGCACACGCGCGCGCGCCAGAGAGAGAGAGAGAGAGAGAGAGAGAAAGAGAGAGATGCGGGGGTGTGGGGAGAGAGAGGGGGAGAAAGAAAAGAGAGAGTGCTCTGGAACCTATGTTCATTCTCAGAGGGTCCACCAGCTCCTGGTCCCCCAAGTGAGCATCTAGGAAAAAGCGCTCCGGGGGGCCCCCCTGCGGGCTAAGGGGATGCTGTTCTGAGGTGTCCAGGCCCCTTTCTGTGCACATGCCCAAGCCTCTGGGGGAGTGTGCAGTCTGGACACGATGCTTCGCTTCCCTCCTCCGTGCTGGGCCGGGTAAGTGGGGAGGCTGGACTTTGGGGCCTGAGAGCCTGGGGGTGGGAACCTGCCCGGCAGCCTGGGGCAGGGGGTGGGAGCGGGGCATCTCTGGGAGTGCTGGCTGCGGGTGCTTCCTGGCTCTGCCTCTGCCTCTGGGCAGCCTTCCCTGATCCCTCTGTCCTCCCTTTCTCCTCCTCTGAGGACTCATTTGTGCCTCTGTCATGTTCTGCCTGGCTGGGCACCTGGGATGGAAACCTCTGATGGCTGAGATGGCCGCTGATTCAGTGGCGGCGCCTGTGCCGGGCTCTAGGTTGGTGTTCAGTAAATATTTGACGGATGAGACTAGGTTGAATCGCCGAGCACCCATATGACTTTCTTTTCCTCATGAATTTTTACAACATACAAGGCTCTACTGGGGTCTCTCTCCTGTTTTACCAACAGGGAAAATGCAGTAAATAACTTGGGTCATTTCTGCATGCAGCAGCATGCTTTCCTGCAGTTTTTTTAAAAATGGCAATCAGCATGTCGCTGGTCCGGACACGCAAAATGACAGGAGAAACAGCGGCTGCCTGACAGATGGACTTCTGTCCCTCCTCTGCCTGGCGGTCCCAAAGCCGCTTCTGACCAGCCCACGGTCACCCTCTGGCAGGTGGAGACAAGCCTGCTCCCGGGTTTCCTGCAGGAGGCCAACGGCCCAGGCTGAGGGGAGGCTCCCCTCTCACAGAGAGCCGGCTCTCCCCATGCTGCTGTTATCTGCTCGGGCTGGAATTGGCCATGACCCTGTAGCGTAGATGACGTAGGTTAACACAAGAAAGACCCCAACAAGGCTGTGGACCTTGTTTTTCTGGAAGTTTGGATTAAAAACGAGAAAATTTCTTATCGGTCTGAATTGGCTGCACTCCGAAACTGCCCATCACAACCATTTGGGAAACAGCTCCAGTTCCCAGTGTTGCTGCAGGAATCACCTAGGCATTTGTGATCCTGAACCTGTGCTTTACAAAACCCTCTGGGCGAGGCCAGTGCACAGCCATGGCTGGTCCCTTGGCCTGGATGTCTTTTCTGATGCTGAGAGAGAAGCTTCACAATCAGAGTGAGGGCGGGGAGTGCTCCTAGGACCCTGTGACTGTGCTTGGCCACCCCCCGACCCCCCACCAATGATGGGAACTCGTGAGGAGGAAAACCTGCAGTAAATAATTTTATTCTTATTTATCGCCAAGCTTAACAAAGGCATTTGTGTTCAGGACTCCCAGGATGACAAACTGAAGAGACTTTTGCAATCGCTTAATCCCTTCCCCCATTTGACAGATGAGGAAACTGAGGCCAGCTTGGTGACCAGCCTTGCATGAAGTGTTAGGAGCTAGTTGGGAACAGGGCGATTTTCTTGGAAGTTCTTGAACTCTGAATGGCATTGCCTGCAGTGGCCAGATGCCTTCACAGGGAGCACTGTGGGGGAGGGTCCCCCTTAGTGTATGCCCACTGTGGGCTCAGCCACGTAGCCACGTACCCTGGTGCTTGTGGTGCGCCCCCCTCCCAACATCTTGGACTTGCCCCATCACATGGTCCTCAGGTGGGACAGAAATCTGCTCTACCATCTGCGGGCTGGGGAGTGCCTCTCCTAGAGTGGGTGGTCCTGATTAAGGGGCTGTCCAGGTTTCCAGAGAAGGTGGGCGCCTCCCTGCAGACTGATCACCCCCAGACTCCCCCAGCGCCCCCTCTCCACACTCCCCAAAGATGCGCCGGGAAGGAGAGATGGAGGCCTGTGCCATGAGTCGAGTTCTTTATTAATTTTGACATTTGTTCAGCTGGTGTAGGGAGAATGGTCTATACATCAGAGTGGAGTGGGGTGTGCGGTGGGAAGTCCCTCCCAAGAACAGAGCGTGTGGGAGTCAAGAAAAGAATCATTTTCATAACAATTTAAAAAATCAAGGTGATTCCAAAACTTCTAAACAGCGTCTAAGGTGCAGACTGCAGCATTCTCTAGGCATTATGTGGCGACCCCAAACCTCTCCCCTACAGCTCCTACTAGCAGCGAACGCAGCATGCCGCCGAGGCCCGGGGGCCGGCGGGCCAAGCAGCCAAGCCAGACAGAGCGACGAGCCAAAGCGCAACCGGGGCCGGGGCCGCGGCTCTACAGGAGCTACTGGGTCGGCGGCGGCAGATCGCGGCGGGAGGCGGCCCTGCGCCTGTCTTCCTCGGCCTTCACTGAGTCCGGCCGGCCGCGGCGGGGCGGAGGGACCGGCCGGCGGGGATGCTCTGCGCGCGGCCCCCGCGGGGGTTGGGTCTGGAGCTCGCGGACCGACGCGCGCGCTCAAGCTCCCACTCCCCGCCCGCCCCTCGGGGAGCCCGGCCAGCCCCGCCCGGACCCACCAGAACACTTGTGCGCCGGGGCCAGCCGGGGCCTCGGGGGTTGGGGGGCTCTGACATCGAGGGAGCTTCTGTGCTACTTGGAAGGTTCGGCTGTGTTCTGAGGACATCTCGGCAGAGAGGCAGGGAGGAAGGTGACCGGACATCCACACACAGTGGCTCTCGGGCGGACGAGAAGAGCCTGCAGTCTCCCTCCTGGCCCGGAGGGTGCCGCGTGGGGCAGGCGCGTTGTGCTGATTTGGGCCTCCCTCTGCCGGGGGCTCTGGTGTAACTTAAGGCTCTTCCCCGATGGCACCGAGGCGAGGAACAGCCAGCCGCCGTCTCCGTCCTGCCCTGACCGGGCCCTGGCCCAGGAAGGTCTCCTTCCAGGCTGGGGCCTCCTGGTGGTCAGCCGTTTCTCCCCCTGCGCTGCCTCTCCAGGGGGTTCAGGGTGGGGTGTTGGTCAGATGGGGGCACTGAGGCTGCCCAGCCCAGGTCCCGCATCCCGCGGCTGCCTGGACTTACAGCACCAAGTTCGCTCTGGGAGACCTCGGGGCGGCGGCTGACCTGAGAACGGGCAGGTGCATTCCCTAGGCCTACTCCCTTCCTTCCTCTTTCACTGAGAGACAGGCTGTACTCCTCCCACAGCCTGGAGCAGTCCTCAGGAGCTGAGCTGTTGGTGCTTTGTACATACTGCTAAAGTGTTGCTATCGGTTTGCATAGTATTTATTGTTTTTCATATACACAAGGCTGCTTACTGTACAGTTGACACTTTGAACACGGACTAGGATATAAGTGCTTGAAGATATAGAAAACCTCTTCTCTATTGAACATGCTGGTGCAATCCTGGGACAGCCACCGGCCTTCCCCCAGCTGGGAGTGAAGACCCTTCCGGATGGGCACTGGCTCCCTCGGAGCCCTACAGCTAAGCCTGGGGTCCTCGCCTCAGAGTCTTAAGTCCCTAACACGAGGAACCCCGAATGCACTCTGAAGGTAATGATTTTCCATTGGAAGATGATTAATACTGAAACTGGCAGAGAGAGAGAGAGCGACAACATAAAAAATTTCCAGTTTATCCACAGGAGAGTCTATACAACTTCGGATGTCACAGTAAAATCTGTGTGTATACTGAGCAGAGGGGAGAGGGGTGTGTGTGTGTGTGGTGTGTGTGTGTGTATGCGTGTGTGTGTCCTGATGCCATGTAGAGAGTTCTGGAAGGTTCGGTCCACAGGGCAGCGGCAGGGCTGGTCACACGTGGAGCGTGGAGGTGTGGGGAAGGCTGGTGGATGAGGGTAAGGGATTAAGGTGTGGAACTGATTTCATGTCTAGTTTTCTTTTTTTTCTTCCTTTCCAGGAAGCTCACATGGATTTCTTACAGATGAGGTTGAAAAAAAAGTACCCTGTAACAAGTCGAAATTGAAATGATTTAAAAAAATATCTCATCCCAGCCACAAAAGAGCCCTTGTTTGCTGCTGCGTTCCGTGCTCTCCTGCGCTTGTTTTACGTCCCCCTCTCTCTCTCCCCCCTCTTGCTGCTTCCGTCCAGACTCCTGAAAGAGATCCACCGTCGCCAGAGGCAGGATAGAGGACTGTAGGTCATGCGTCTACAGTCGGTCGTTCATGCGAACAGGTGACTAAAGGACGTCCCTTACAGAGGTCATGCCGTAAGCCTCCAGGGACGTGTGCGCGGCTTCCGGGGCCTCGGTCCAGCTCTCGGGTGCGTGGCAGAGTGTGTGGAGTTCAAGGGTTGGGTGTCGAGGTGTGATCCTGAGGGACACACAGAGAGGAGTCACTTAGAATTTAGAGGCGCAACTCCCAGCCAAAACCCACTATGCAGAGTTTTGTGCTGGCGGCTCAGGCAGGGGTGAGTCAGGAAAAGCAGCCTCCCCAAGCCAGGCAGGAGCTGAAAGGCACTGAGCTTGGCCCGGACCTTCCTGAAACACCAGCCATCCTTATCGCACTGCCCGACGCAGAGGCTGCCACTAGCTCCGTGCCCATCGATGAGCTCCCCGGGAGACCCTCCTGTGGGGTACTCTGTGCCCGCGCGGTCACCTGGGGAGATGTCCCCGTGTACCCAGCACCTAGGAGAGGGGCCGTGTGCTCGAGCCCAGCAAGGGCCAGGCTAGGCGGTGGCAGCACCCTGGCTTGTTCGGTTTGGTTCAGCCAACATGCATTGATGTCTCCTGTGTGCCAGCCTGGGGACCCGGGGATGGAGCAGACACGGCCTCGGGAGCTCACGGCCTCAAGGGACCTTAGCGCCTCTTCGGCTCTGGTCCACAACCCTTACTGTCGGGGCCTCGGGCTCCTCTCCCCGTGCCCTTTGGACGGACAACCTCTATTGGGGCAAAGAGATCTTTGAAAACCAGATGGCTTCTCCCCAGGGGACTATGTATGTTAGGCTGGAAGACAGCAGCTTTGCCAGAGTGAAGTTCAACGCTGCAGCCTGGGAATCACAGAGACACGGGGCTCCTGCCACCCCGTGGGGCCTGCTCTTCCAGCCTGGGGGAGATGGGGGGACAACCCCATCTCCAAGCCCAGCCACGCAGGGTTCTGTCTGCAGGGACTTAACGTTAAGAGGAGCTGACAGTCTCCTGGGTGGGGTGGGAAGTCACCTGAGGCACAGCTGTGTCCCCGGACAGGGAGCTCGTCGTGGGTGCTACAAGTGCCAGGGCTGGAGGTGATCAAGGGGAACTCAACCCTGAGTGGTTCCCCAGGCATGGAGGGTGGGGCTAAGCTCCTCCCCAGAGCAAAAGGCCAGGCCTCCTACTGCCGTGGCTTGAGCGAGCGGTTGCCCGGGAGGGGACTGTCCCATCACCGCCAGCCAAGCCCCTCCTCCAAGTCCAAAGCCTGCACGCCCGCCTTTGTCCTCGGCTCCCCCGTCAAGGACACCATCCAGTCTCCACTCGGCTGAGGTTCTGCCCACCACCCTTCAGACCTCTCCTCCACAAGGCCTTCCTGAAGCCTTCAGCCTCCCCTTCTCTGTCCTCTCCTGCTGCTGCCTTGCATGCAGAGTAACCTCAGAGTGCAGTGAAGAGTATGAACTCTGAAGCCGGTCTGCCGGCGTTCATATCCTGTCTCTGCCAAGTTCCTGCTGTGCGGCCTCGGTCAAGTTACTTACACTCTCTGGGCCTCAGTTTCCTCTGCCGTAAGACGAGGGCAGGAGCAGGACGTACCTCGTTTGATTGTCGTGATGCTGGAGAGCTAACGACCTAGGAAGCGCTCAGGATACTGAGCAGTACTGGATGCCGCCGTGCTTGGGCTCCAGAAATGCCCTGTCCTGTCTGTCCTCTCTCTTGTCTGCTTACTTCCCTGGCTAGAGTATAAACACTCTGAGGGCAAGAGCAAAGCCCTTACCCTTCCTACCAGTCCCACAGCGCCTGCCCCAGCGCTCAGCACGCCACATAGGAGATGTTATGAAAGCTTGAGCCTGGGGAAGACAGGCTACCATCTCCCTCCCACTCTTCTGCCCGGACACAGAGCAGAGGAGAAAGTTCAAGGCTGAGAGGTCATTCTAGCGTAACCGTTCTTCCCATCTCTGGGTGAGCTGAGGCTCCAGGAGAAGCAGGGACGGGCCCGGCGGGAGCCCCCCGGCAGCAGCAGGGGTGGGAATACAGTGCGTCTCTATTAGTCTCTAATAGAGCCGCAATCTGCAGCTGTGTCCAGTACTCTGCCACCGCCCTGGGTGCCCCCGGACCCGGTCTCACCCTATAAACGCTTAGAAAATAGCCTCCTGCCACTTCGAGTGGCTGTGCCGGTCAGGCTTTTTTCCTCATGTCATCTCTCTGTGCTGTGCCACCTGCCCCTCCCCCGCCAGCGCCTGCGGCTCTCGCCTCTCTCCTCTCTCCTGCAGCCCCAGACTCTGATACACCTGCCGGGGCTGGCGAGTGAGGGTGGACTGTCGCTTAAAAGAGCAAAGTAAAACACGACCCCTGGCCTCCTTGCCCCCTCCTGTTGAGATTACTAATAGGCGAATTTTCAAATTTACTAAAACACTCTAGTCAGTCAGAGCCAACACAGGTCTTGCAACCACAGTGCCTAAATGGAAAGTGTCTCTTAAAAAGGGAAACAAAACAACAGCCGTCGCATGGGTGGTACCACCAGCGCCCGGCCAGGTGCCTCTAACCCGAGGACACAGGCTGCCTGCTCTCCGCTGTCCTCTGGCAGCGCCGACACCCTGGTTCTTGGACCCACGTACTTGGGCACAGCTGCTACTGTCTGCTGCACCCCATTAGGTTTGACTCCACAGCTATTTTCTAACTGCTTAAGTACAACCAGAAAGCACCCCTCACGCCCACGCCGGGCCTCCTGCAAAATCCTTCCCGAGGTTGGGCGTGATTGCAGGGGAATCAGAGCAGGCGCCTAGGATTGGGGTGTTCGGCCCTTTGGGGCGTTCCACGGCTTTGAACACTGTCACCATCACTCATCTCTGCTCACCCTTCAGGTGTAAATTCTACAGCTGTGCCACGGCACCTCTGGGAGGTTTGGGAAGGAAAACCAGAATTGGTCCTAGTAACCCACTCTTCAATCGGCATCAGAATCACTCGAGCTTACGGCCAAATCCCGAGCTCCAGACCTGTCATGCAGTAGGTGAGGGTCAGGGGCCAGGAGTCTGCATCCTAACCAGACTCTCGGGCGACTGGGATGCGGAAGGCACTTTGAGAATTGGTGGATTAGGACTTGACAATTCAGAAAGTCCTCTCACGAAGAGAAACCCATCATCGATCGCCGTACAAAGGGAATATCGGCGTTACTGCCATTTCACAGCTGGGGCGCCTGAGGCTTGGGAGAGGTCAGCTGACCCGCCCCGGGTCACGCTACAAGGAAGACCTGCAACTGGTTGAGCGCCAGAACACACTGTTCTTACCCCTCTCAGCCATCCTCACAGTTACCCTGGTTATTTTTAAGCCTTTTTACACCAGTGTGACACACAGAGGGACTCATTTCATCCTCCCTCGAGGAGAGGGAAGCTTAGGGAGTGAAACAACATGTAAGGTAACCTGGGAACTGGAGGAGCCAGGCCTGGACCCTGGGCCCCAACCCACTTTCACTCTCTCTGAAACAGTCAATACCCCTTGTTCGCAGGAGGCATGTTCTCTCAAGTCGCCAGGAGCCCTGAATTAGCCAATACTGGGACCACCGCTCCCGAGGACAGTACAGTGCAGGGTTCCTGCCAGCCTCTGGTCACAACGGTTTTGTCAACCAATGAACACACAACCTTGTGTGTCTCTCTTTAAAGACAACGTATTTCATGTACAATTGACCCTTGAACAATGTGGGTTTGAATTGCACGGGTCCCCTTCTGTGTTGTTTTTCTCCAATAAATACAGTGTCTGCATGTTCATTTTACAGACCTTTAAATGAACTAAGTGTGGGGACAAGTTTGTACTGGATTACAGATCACAACACATAGAAATAAAAGAACTAGAGTCTGAGCCCAGGATTCTAGCCGTGCTGTTTCAGCTTCCCGCCCTGGGGGTGAGTCTTTCATCAGTTCCTTTACTTTTGAGGCAGAGAGAGGGGTGCTGGGATTTTCAACTGCCTGGGGGTTGGCGCCCCAACCCCCGAGTTGTTCAAGGGTCAACTGTACACTGTTGCTTTATGAACACTGCACTCACGTCCGACAGAGCTATAACTCGTGCCTGAACGAGGCTCCCCTAAACACGACTTCCCACGCACGGCCCATCACGGCCCTGCCGCTCTTAGGAACACAAGACAGCAGGGCCATTTCAAACAGCGAAATCACCAACAAACAGCATAAAAATGCAAAAAAAAAAAAACGTGACACTGAATAGACCGCAAAAAGGGCAATTGTTCAGAGTGTGAGCTGAAACGGGGACAGAGAGAAGGCCTCCTTGTTTGACCTCAGCTGGGAACAGGCACGCAGGGCGTTCAGTGCTTCACCACTGTGCGCGCGTCCCTGAAAGGCCACGGGAGGGAAGTGCTGGGAGCGCTACGTTTGGGGCTACAATAAACTGTAGCTAGTAGGCGAATTTGCAAGTTTGCAGTCATTTGGAATCCATCAATGCTGGGGGCCGTGCATGCTTGCGAGTGGCAGGCGGTGCGTCTGGAGGACCAGAGAGCCCTCAGCGGTCTTTGTCTTGTTCAGAGGGTAGAGCACGGCAGGCTGTCCCCTGGGCTGTCCCTCCCGCACGCTGGCTTCCGCACCACGGTCCCCACTGCACGCTCCCCTGGCCTCTTCCTGGCAGAGGCCCCGGCCCTGTGCTACGGCCTGGCTGCTCTGCTCCGCGTCCCCTAACACCCACGCCCGGTGGTCTGAAGCCACATCCCCTGGGGTGAGGGTTCAGCCACTTTGCAGATCACCTACAGAAACATTTTTTGAAAAATGTCTGGGTTCCTCCCTTCCCCTCGCCTGGCTTCTGGGCTGCCTCTCTCCTGTTCAGGAACACCAGCAAAACCTGAGCCAAACAGAAGCTGGGATTGAAAGCTTCAGTCTCTGCCCTAAGGAAAATAAGGCCCAAGAGTGTACTTTTCCTTCCACTCTCTGGTTTTTCGAATTACTTGCACCTTTGGACTATTTCCAGGACTGATCACAGCTGACGTCCTAAACCAGCAGCCCGGCGGACCCCTGGCAGTGCGGGGGTTAACACTGTGACCTCCTTAAGCTGCTGAGAAGTCAGGTCTAATTTTATCCTATAACTGGATAGGCCAGACCTTTTTCTTTTGCCCAAGTGCTGAGGGAAGCCCGGAGTCAGCACTTCTGGGGGCTCGGGAGGCGGCGGCCCTGCTTTTTGCCGAATGCGGAAGGGGAGGCTGCTGGCCGCGGGCCCGGAGCCGGGCCCTGGGGGTGTAGGTGACAATAACCCGGTGCCAGCGGGAGCTGGGGCCACGTGCTTCCTGCTTCCGGCCGACTCCCACCCCGACGCGCCCGGTACTGAGCTGGCCCGAGCTGGGCACAGCGAAGGGCCTCGGGGCAGCTCAGTACAGGACCCCTCAGGGAGGACGGAGGTCCGAGCTGGCCCCGAAGCCCCCAGCACTGCTCAGCCCGCTGGAGAGCCTTCGCCGCGTCTTCTCGGCCTCCCTCCCTCCCTCACTGCACATCACGCCCCCGCCCCCCAGCCGGCAGTGCTCCCACAGCCTCCTGTTAACTTTGCCTCTTCCTAGAAAGCAAGGGCACAACATGCTTCAGGAAATACCAAGGAGGATGGGAGCCTTGGGTTCAAGGTTCAAGGCACAGCTGGGTTCCAGGCCTCTCCCTGTCCAGCTCTTCCTGGCCACGTGCACTGAAACAGCACAGCCTATCAGACCCCGCTGCACCCTCCAGGGCCCCGCCCCTCCTCCTCCAGACCCCCTTGCTGGGCTTCCAGGGTAACGTTCCTGGAACTGAGATGTACCGAGTGCTTCGCACTCACGGAAGCACTTTTTCAAATCTGTATTTTTGCGCTTGCCGAGGAACAGGTCAGCAGGGGCTGCTGTTTTCTCTCGGAGGCAATGGAGCTCAGAGGCACCGTTAGCAGGTGGGAGTCTGTGCTTGGAGCCCACAGCGGTGCCTGGTCCTCCTGCGTCATGCTGGGCAGCGGGAGGGGCTGGGAGGGGAGGGAGTTCCAGGAGGAGCGGGGTAGGGGTGCGCAAGTCCGCAGCCTCTCAGCGGGGCGTCGCGGGGGACCAGGCCATGCAGAGAAGACGGAGAACGACGGCATTACCTCCAAAGAGGCCATTCCACAGGGAGGGGCTCGAGATCACTGTTTCCCCCTTTTGAGGCTGGCCCGCTTCACTATCTGAGCCCCCTTCCTGCCCTCTATCAGGTCCGGCTGCAGGCTACTGTACCCTCTCAGCTCCACCTGGAGACAGCATTGCAGACACAAGGCAGGACAGATCACACACAGAGATGGCAAGAGAACACAGGCGCCCTACGGAGGTGGTGGGAACAGTGCCACCAGGGGCAGGAGGCTCGAGGGGGAGCAGAGAGGTGAGAGGTGAGCCCCAAGGGGGCTGGCGCAGAGGGCAGCAGGAGTCACGGGCCGGCCCCTCGGAAGAGCGAGGGCCTGGGAGGCTGCAGCTCAGGCAGTACCTTGGCGTGAGTCATAAAGTAATCAACACCGGCCTCCATCTCACTAGGGTCCTCCAGGGGCCCCCCAGAAATCACCTCCTCGGGCTCCTGGGTGCCATCGGCTCCGGATGGATCGACGTGGAGAACAACTTTGCGAATGATCTGCAGAAGAGAGGGAGGGCAGAAGGGGCTGGGGAAGCCGGCCAGACAGAGCTCGAAAAGAGCAGGTCCCGGAATGAGCTGGGGGGTTAGAAGCAGCCTTTGTCCCCAGGTGCCCTTCCCTGAGCGGTCAAGATCGGGGACGGCCTCTCGCCCCCATCGGGTGGGGAATTCGCACTGGGCAGCCTCAGAGGGGCTGGAATTTGCGGGAGGTTCTTACTGAGGCTCATGGATGATCGGGGTCTCACCACCGCCCCCCCTGACTTCTATCTCTAGCCCAGGGCGGTCCATCCTGCCTCCTGGTGTGCTGGAAGTTTACGCCCTCCGTCTTCCCCTTAGGACTGGGAGCCCCCGAAGGGCAGGGCGTTCCTGTCCCTGGGATCCACCTGTTCCCTATTCACGCATCCAGATATTCCAACGACAGTCTGCTCTGCACCTACCGCGTGCAAGCAGTGGGAGGTGAGAACACACACGAGCATGAAGCTCCCCGTGCAGGAGGGAAGACGGGGTCCTGCTCTGACCTAGCATGAGCCCCGGAGCAACACAGGTCTGCCTTCTGCCCACACCTAGCACCGTGCCCAGCACCCATTAGGCAGAATCACGTCTCCTGGTGTAAACCTACTGCCAACCCCATGCATTCCCACGTCCTTTTATCTCAGGAGGCCCACAGGGACCCCCGTACTGCTGTCATACAGCTGTTTTCAGGGCCAGGCATCACAGGACTAGGTTTGGGGGGTTCCACGGGGCCCGGTCATTCTGGAACCCAGTCGGAGGAGCTGAATTCAGGCTGAATCAGGCAAGGTGGCTGTAAGGAATGTCACATGTGGACTGTGGCAGGTGCCTACCCCTCTGCTAGGGCAGCAGCAAGAAGCTGGGGGTGAGTCCACCGCCTTTGTAAGCTTCTAGCCCGCCTGCCTCTGCCCAGCTCAGGGGGACTCTGCACCCACCTTCTTGGTGACGACGTTGCCCTGCTCATCCGTGAAATGCTCCTCTGTCACCTGCTCCCCTGGAATATTCTGAAGCTCATCCCCCTGGAATTAGAGAAAGGGAGAAAACTCAAGATTGATAAGCGGGAATTTGGGAATAAGGACAGAGGATGAAGAAATAAAGTGGCGCCAGCAGTAGCCACAGTCCCACAAGTCCCCATCCTGGCAGGAAACTGCAACTCGGCCGCCAAACCAGGCTCTGAATGAGGGGCACCCCGGGGGGTCCTGGGCCCAGGACAGGAGGGAGCCCTGGGCTACCAGGAGCGCTGCCACGGCAGCGGGGGTGGGCACAACAGGGGCGATTATGTGGGATTTACGGAGACGGAGGGAGGCCCCCGATTTCTACTCCAACGGCACTTGACAGGAAAGAACCCCCTGCCCCAGACGCCTTTGCCCAGAGGGTGACTTGCTGCCTCACTGGGCTGGCTGGGGACAGAAGCAGGAGGGGGCCGGCTTCCTAAGTCCCGGAGCCGAGCTTCCTCTGCCGCGTCGGGGAGTCGGGCGTGCCGCCCAGCTCCGGCCCCGCACGTTCCACCCGAGGCCCGCCCGGCCTCTTCCAGCAGGCGTCCTCACCGGCGTCCCGCACATCCCGGCGCTGCCCCCGCCTGGGTTACCTTCAGGAGGACCCGGCGCCGGACCACCCTGGTGGAGATGGTCTCCTCGTCGTCGCTCAGGCCCTCGCTCTCCCCCAGCTCCTTGTCCAGCTCCTGGTGGATGTGCTTCAGCACAAAGCACAGGGAGCCCCGGACGATGTGCATCACGTTCTGGCAGCTGACCAGAAAGAAGCCCAGCAGCACCAGGGTGACCAGCAGCTGGGTGATGAAGGTCCACATCGTCACCTCCTCACCAGTCTGGCCCTCCGGGGCCTGCGCAGCCAGGGGGCCACCAGGCGGGGGGCCAGCCTCTCATTCTCCTCTGGGACTCTGGAGGCCCCCTGGGACACCCTCCGTTTTCTCCACGCGAGGGAGGCGGCAGGGCCCCTAGTGGAACTGCCGCCAGAGTGCCCTCCTGCTGAGCCCAGCTCTGCCCTCGGCCCGGGTGACGTCAGGCTCCAGTAATTTTAGCTCCCAAGCCAGCTGCCGGGCTGTCCGGCAGGGCTAGAAGGAAGCAGGCAGGTGTGCATGTCCTGGGCGCTGGAGGCGTGTGTTAAAGTCACCGTGTGCGACACCAGCCCTGAGAGCCGGTGGCCTTGTGACAGCTAGAGGCAGCTCTGCCCAGGAAAACTGTCCCATTCGGACTTGGGAAAATAAGATGTCTCCAGAACGTGGCTACTTGTGTGTGTCCCTGGGCTGCTACTGCCATGATCAGAATGATGTCACCCCGCTCGCTCACGGGATGGGGCCGGCTAACACCCTGGAGGGTGCAGGGTTTGTTTCAAAAATAGCCCCTGGTGAGTGATTTGCTCAGGCCCAGCTCTGGGAGTGCAGGCGTCCAGGGAGGGGCCTGGGAGCCCGTGCAACTCCATCAGCCCCTCTGGCCTCGGTCCCCGCTTACACGGCACAGCAACCCCAAATGCGAGCGTGTCACTGGTGTGTCTATTTAAGGCCTGTCCTTAAAGGCTCTTCCCAGGCTGGGCTGTCAACACCAGGGCAGGAACCATGCGCATTAAACTCAGCTTTGCAGAGCTGACTCCCTAATGCAGCCCAGCAGCTGCGGCTGAAAGGAATTCCCCTCCTGGGATCAGGCCGTTCCTCTCTGGCCTGCAGCCGGCGTGGCAGAAAGAACCAGGAACTGGACCCGGCACACTGACCCTGCGGCTTCCCGCTGAGGGGCTCAGGGAAGCGGGGCGCCTTCTCTGGGCCTCGGTTTCCCCGGCGGTCAAACAGGGGCGGGTTCAGGAGCTCTCTTCCCGTTCTGAGAGTGCCGGGGGGTCGCACGGTTTGTGAGCCCACCGCTAGGGGTGGTGACAGCAAACACCCCACGCAGCCCGTTGCCCAGGAGGGGCTCTGTGTGCGTTTCACACACTAACGGTTACGCCTGCAGCACCCCCCATCGCGTCTCTGATTTTCCCATCTCACACAAAGGAAACAGAGGCACAGAGAGATTGATAACTTGCTACGTGAAAGAGTAAGGAAATGAGGGTCAGATTTCCAGCTCCGACCCCGGCACAATCCTGCCTCATCTCCACAAGACAGCACCTGGGACACAGAAGCCACACGTGCAAGGGGGCACGAGAGCCCTGGGTCTGAGCCCAGCCTAGGAGTTCAAGGTCAGATGCTGCCCGCCGGGGCCGCAGAGAGGGACTGGCTGCCTTGCAGGTTCAGGCCCCCAGTTATACCCCACTCCCCGACCCCGTGTTTTTTGAGACTCACTGGAAATCCTAGCAAACAGGTGCTCTGCAAACCGTCACCGTAAACAGGGCTCGTTATCATCCCTGGAGCCCTGGCAGGTGATTAGGAAACAGCTCACCTACCCTCCCATCCGCCTTAGGCAGGGAGGTGCTGGCTCACTGGGACTGGGGGTCAGGAGGTCCCAGACTCTCCTGGGCCTCAGTTTCCCCATTTGTAAATGAGGCAGTTGGGCCAAATGACCTAGAGGGTTTCTCTCACGGTCCCCTGGGGTGGTCCTGCTTCCTCTCCAGGCCTCCCCTCACCAAAGCCAACCGTAGAGACGCTCCTTCCCCGGGACTCCGGGCGGGGGTCGGGGGCACAGACCCGGAGCGGGGCCATCTGTGCTATGAGACAAGCGCTCACTACCGGGGGCAGAGGGTCCCGTGGAACAGCCCCTCGGCCAAGAACGCACGGGGTGACCTGGGGTTAAAAAATGGGTGCAGCCGCCCAGCCGTCAGTGGTGCGGACTCGGCAGGGACGCCTTCTAAGTACCACCCTGTTTAATTCCTGGCAGCGCGTGGCAGCCAGCAGCCCAGGTCATCGTGGAGCCCGCCTGGTCCTGGGGTCCTCAGAGGTGCCTTCGAGGCTCGGGCTTGGACAGGAGCGAGGGGAGGGGAGGAGAGGGCAGTGGAGGGGAGGGAGGGTGAGGAACCGATGCTGACCGAAGAGAAGAAGCCAGGGAGGGCGGAGCACATTGTTACGTACGCGTTAAAACCACACGTGCACAGAGCAGCGACGCGAACTTTATAAAAACGCACGAATTAAAAAGACACGTTCGTAAGATGTCTGGGATTAACGTCAAGATAACGTGGGGGGACCCCTCGGGGGTGGGGGTGGGGTGATGAAACCAGAGGGCCGCCAGCAGGCAGTGGCAGCGCCTGGGCACTGTGTGCGCGCAAAGGTGACAGACTGTTCTGTCTGGTTTGGTATCTATTTGCAATCTTTCATAATAAAACTGTTTCCAAAACCACATTAAAATGATGTCTATGGGAATGGGCAGTGAAGATAAAAGCAAATAAATAAAATAAATAAGTAGGGAGGACTGAAGGGAGGCCAGGAGGGCGGAGGGTGCAGGCAGCTGGAGCCTGTGCTGGGATCGCGCCCTCGGTCCCAGCCTGTTCCACCCAGGGAGCCCACCCGCACGGGCAAGGAGTCCCCAGTGAACCCTGGCGACAATCCTTTCTCTACCTCGTTTACACAAGGGCACCCGGGGCGGGACAGTGGCTGGTCCTCGTCCCTACAGACACGGTGGGACCCGAGTTAGCCTGGCCTCCAGGTCTCTGGTGCTAAGCCCTTCTTCCTAAACCACGACGGAAAAAGAAAGCAAACAAAACTAGGGCTTTGGGGCTTCCCTGGTGGCGCAGTGGTTGAGAGTCCGCCTGCCGATGCAGGGGATGCGGGTTCGTGCCCCGGTTTGGGAAGATCCCACATGCCACGGAGCGGCTGGGCCCGTGAGCCATGGCCGCTGAGCCTGCGTGTCCGGAGCCTGTGTTCCACAACAGGAGAGGCCACAGCAGTGAGAGGCCCGCGTACCGCAAAAAAAAAACCAAAAAACAAAAAACTACGGCTTTGGCAACGGCCCTGCAAAGCCAACCTCTGACCCTATGACCCTGGGCATCTGGAGGGCAGTGGAGGGGAGGTGCCTGGAAGTCTCATCAAGGTGAGCCTCTTCCCTCCCTCTCAGGGATCAAGGAGGCAGACACGTGGAAAGAGAAAAAGATAAGCCACTGCCACGATTTTTAAAGCTGGAAAACACGCCCGGCTAGGGGCCTGAGCAAGTGAGCAGCTGCCCCAGGCCTGGCCCTCTGGCTGGAGCATCAGTGGCGGCTCCCCGCGGGCTCTCACCTGTACGTGGCGGGAGAAGGTGCTGACAGCCTCCTGCATCCACTCGCTGGGGCCCTGTGGTCTCCGGTCCCTGCCGGCCTCGGGCTGCTCCGTGTGCGCGCGCTCCGGTGCAGAGCCCAGGACCTCTTCGTGCTCCCAAGACCTGCTGACGGTTCTCTGGAACGAGTGTGGGCCTTGCAGGGCCTCCTCCCCCCAGGAGCCTTGTGTGGCCTCTTGCAGATAGGAGACGATGGAGCCTTCCGCATCCCAGTCCTGCAGTCTGGGGCCCAGGAAGAGACCGAGGACACCAGTCACCCCCAGTCTCCGCTCTCAGAGACCCTCCCCCTCCAGAGCCCTGGCCCATCCAGGACGGATCCTGTACCGCCCACTGGAGGTCGGGAGAGCATGAGCTATCGCACAGCGACTGCCCTGTCCAGAGGCCCGCGTGGGCCATCCTTGCTGTCCCGGTGGAGAGGCCCACGGACACCGGTGGCGCTGGGCCCCACCCTGTGAATGGATGGCTCCACGCTCTGGGCTCCCGAGGCACGTGGCTCACGGTCCCGTCATCGGGGTCCCCACACCCGTCATCCCACCCACCACCCTCCGGCCCCTCAGGTCACTCCCACCGCACGGTCCTCACGCCTGGGCTCAGCTGGCAAAATGATCACCCCTCCCCCTTGACGCAGGCTCTTCCACGGCCTCCGGGACACACGTGCCTGTTTTTCCCTCCCTCTCTGGCCGTTCCTTCTCAGCATCCTTTGCGGGATCCTCCTAATTTCCCTGGCTTCTGACCCTGGAAGGCCCCAGACTCAGTTCTTCTCTGTCTACACCCATGTGCTCCACAAGCTCATTCAACCCGTGGCCTTAACCCCAGATGTGGGTCCCCAGCATCTCTTCCTTGAACTGCAGGTGTGCGTGTCCAACTGCCTCCTTGACGTCTGTCCTTGGGGTTTCTGATGGGCATCGCATGGGCAGCCCAGCCAAGTTCACACTTAGGGTCTTCTCCCCGGACATGTTCCAGCCATCCTCCCACTGCAGTAGATGGCAACCTCGTCCCTCCAGGTGTCAGGCCAAGGACACCCGTGTCGTCTTGGACGTCCTTCTTTCTCTCACACTCTATATCTTATTTGCCAGGAAACCCTTTTGGTTCAACTTTCAAAAACACACCCTGAACACGACCACTCCTGGCCACCAAACAGCCACCATCTCGGTCCACGTCACCATCGACTCCTGCTTCCAGCTCATCTTCCTGCCTCTACCCTTGGCTGTGGCCGGCCGTGGCCAGATCACCTCGCTCCTCTGCTCAAAACCCTCCAATGGCTCTCCATCCCACCCAGGAAATGCCAGTCTCTCCAGGACCCCGAGGCCTGACATGTCCGGCCCCATCGCTTCCCTGACCTCACCTCCCGTGACCACCCTGCTCTAGGCACAGGCACCTTCTCGCTGCCCCTCGACTGTGCGGGCCGCACTCTGCTCCGAGGCCTCTGCCCTGGCTGGGCCTTCTGCTGGCTCCGCTCAGGCGTTCACGTCGTTCATCACCTGAATTCCTTTATGTCTTTCCCGCGAGTCACTCTCAGGTGTCCCTGCCCGCCCCGTCCATGATTTCAACCACCCCCTTCCCTGCTTTATTCTTCTGTTTAGCACTTAGCATTAATTAGCATCTCTTTTAATTACTTTTAATGCCATTTACTTTATCTGTTTATATCGTCAGTCTCCCCACTAGAACATAAACGTCTTGCACGTAGAGACTATCTGCTTTGCTCAATGCCACAGCCGTGCTCCGAGGCACTTCACACAGGGGCCTGGCGCACAGTAGGCATTCAATACACACTGTTGAGTGAGTGAATGAAATTCATCTGTCCCCATGGGAGAGCTGACCCAGGTCACAGAGCCATCCTGTAACGTTCTGAGGCCCGGCCCCCAGGCCTCTGGTCCCTGTCTAGGGACCCTGCTGTCACAGTGGCGCAGTGGGCGGCACACGGGAACATCCAATCAGCTTGTTGAGTGAACGGCCATCGCCAGCGGCTGGAAGGTGGGATTCACTTGAATCCTCACGGCTCAGTGTGCCCGATTTTCCCGAAGCGTCGAAGGATTCGTTTGGGACACTAAATGAATCCTTGCTGTCTTGTCTCCTAAGCAACTTCGTTTTCCCTCCTGCTGGGGGATGCGGGCCACACCGAGTGGAGCCTGGGGAAGGGCCGTCTGCCCGGGCTTCTGGGAGGAGGATGCGCGTGGGAAGAGGAAAGGAGGATAGGTTTCCCACGGCCTGGCTGGGTCTGAGCTCCCTGGGTGGCCACAGCCTGCTGGGAGCACAGGAACCATCTCCTTGCTTGAGGAAAATTCAGGCGGCAAAGCGACACAGAGGAAAGGGCCTTTGCCCCTCCCTTCCTGTGCCAGCCCCGGAGGCCAAGGCGATACCTGTCACTGTCTGTCTCTCTCGCTCCAAGCCCCACTCTGCTCTCAGCCCAGTGCTGGAGTGTGGCGGATGTCCACTGCATGCACGTGGCCTGGGGACTCTGTGTCTCAGAGGGGCATCAGGCCATCTGCCTGCACTGCCAACGGGCATCCTGCTGCTGGACCTGTCATCACAGGCCTTCTCATCGCAGGAAGGGTGGTAAGGAGCTACCCAGGAGAATAACCATCTTCAACAGCTGAAGCTCTGTCCTGCCCCTGATAAGCCCGCTGGCCTCACTCCTTCAAAAGGGTGTAAGTAGAAAGGGCAGCCTTATCAGCTGTCACACGCAGGCTGTGTGACTGCACACATAGCTTCCCTGGGCCCTGGTGCTTCTAGGTTTCCAAATACGGTTTGATTTCAGCAATCAACACACAACAGCGACCGGGGCCCAGAGCACCCAGCTCAGCTGTACTTCAGGGACGTGGCTTCTCCCAGCCTTACAATCTCTCTCCCAGGGATGCTCTCCCTTCTCCCAACACCCTCAGCCTCTCTCCTGCTGGCCAAAAGATGGGGCTGGCGATGGGGGTGGGGTGGGGGGTGGTTCTGGGGGAGGGACTGGCCTTTGCAGACACAGCTCCACTCTCACAAGACAGAGGCCTGAGCGCGGGCTGGGCGGCTTCAGAGGCGAGCTGGCGCCTTACTGAACTTATTTGCGCCAGTGTGTTTAGAACACAGCATCGGGGGACAGCGGCGCCCGAGTTCCCTCCGTACTCGCTGCCAGAAGCCCAGGACGGTGAAAGGCATCCCGCACGGCGGCCCAGCCCTTACCTGTCCTGGCTGGAGTCCATCACCCGACTCACGGTGTGGGATTCTGTGATGTGGGCTTGTACCCTCTGCTGGCCTGAAACAAGAGACACTTCATTCCCTGAGCCCTGCCCTGCACCTGTCGAGTCCTCCTGCCTCTCATGACCTGGCAGCTTCTCTTCTGACCTCTGACCTTCCTCCTGGTCAAGCAAATCGATAAGGCCATTTGCGGCATCTGAATCCACTGTGTCATCCTCCACGAGGTCCAGAGAGCCCAGCATGGGGCCCTGGGGTCCCTCGGAGAGCGCCTCCTCCAGCTTCCACTCGTGGCCGGTGGCGTCCGAGTCCTCGGCCTTGCTGCACTCCAGAGAGGAGTCCTCAGCAGTGACCAACGAGGGCGTGAGGCCCGCGGACCACACCTGCATGTCAGACATCTCCAGCATGGCGTCATGCTCCGTGCCCGCCAAGGGGATGGCGTCTAGGACGGCCACCTCGTTCCAGTACTGGTCTGCGCGCAGCGGAGAGGGGAGCGCGTAGTGCAGGGAGGCGGGGGACAGCAGCTCGTCCTGCAGCGAGGAGTAACCTGGATGGGCAGACAGAGGGCGACATGCTCCAGCTGTGACCTTCCATCACGCGCGCTCACGTGCCGGTCACGCGCGCACAGGCACGGCCACTGAGGCGCATGCGCATTCCGGCAGTGCGGGCCTCCCCAAGCCTTGTGGCTTCTGCCCAGGCACCCGGGCAAGAGAACAAGGCTCTGGGGGCTGAGGAAGAGGGGGCAGCCAGGGGTGAGGGCGGGGAGGGGGCTCCTTTGCTGGACGCAAAGAGAAGAGGTTGGAATGCTTTCTCTTCCAGTCCAGAGCGGGGATCAAGACGTCTTGATCCAGAGGCTGGAGCTCGAGCCGTCCGCAATCAGGTGAAAGCCCCACTGCTCAGTGGCCGCGCGGAAGGCAGGGCTGCTGTCTCTTTGCACCAGCGTCCCTTGGGCACAGCCCTTGGGGGCTCTGTTAGGAATGCACCTCCAAGGGAGGGGGCAGCCCCAGAGCCAGGGTCGCTGACCGAGCCCTGGCGGGGCTGGCGAGCACACCGAGTATCCACAGACCTCGGTGCAGCGGTCAAACGGGAAACCGCTCGGTTTGGGATGAAGTCGCTTAGCCGCAAGCAGTGTATGTGTTCCCAGAACTGTGAATGAGCCAAAGTGGCACGAGGGCGTGTCCTCCGGGCGCACGAGGTCCCGGGCACAATGCTGTTTCCTCAGAACTCTGCCTGCCGATCCCGCCAGGTCAGCTGTGACCCAGGGGAAGGGAGCCGGCGGGCCCAGGCCCCTACCGTGCAGCCCTGTGGTCAGCAAAGCCTGTTCCCAAGCCTGTTCCCTGGGGACGGGCTCGGACACGAGTCGGTGATAGTCTCCCGGTTGGGTCTGGTGTGCAGACCAGGATGCTGAGGGGGCAGCAGGTTTAAGTGTGGGATCAGTGTGCGTGTCCTGGACGGGGTTCCCTTGGGTGGGGCCTCTGCTCTCCTCCAGCTTGGGGAGGGGGGCGGTCCCTGCAGCAGGGGAAGAGGGCCTCTGCCTCCCCTTCGGAGCAGGTGCCAGTCTGAGGGGGGCCTAGAAGGCAAGATTCTCCACTTGGCCCAGCCTGTCTGGGGACCCGGGAGCAGGTGTGTGCTCACAACCTCTGAAGATCCAGCAGAGCCGAAGGGGACCCTGGGCATGGGTGGGGTTGCCCCTGCAGGGTCTCCAGGGACCTTCCTGCCACGTCCCGAGAGGCCCCTAACCCAGTGTCTGCAATCTTCATCCTGCCATTCAACCCTCACCGCTCCCCACCCCTGCATCTGGCTTAACCTCTCTCCTGGCCAGACGGGCCCTCGTCACTCCCAACTGAGCCTCAGCTCCTGTCCTCCAGCTTCTCTGCTTCTGATAGAACTCAGCTGTCCTCCTTCACTCACTTCTTCAACCAGAAAATATGAAATGAGGTCTGCTTCCACGCCAGGCACCATACATGCTAAAGGGTTGGGGATTATAAACACACACAGACACACACACACACACGACAGGTTCTCTTTGTCCTCTTTCTTTCACAACGTTCTCCCAATGACTCCAGCTCACCTTGGATTCCCCCATCTTTGAGCCTGTCGTGGTTCGCATGACTGTCAACTCCAAGAACAGGGAACCTGTCTATGCTGTCCCACTGCAGAGCTTTCAGATGTGAGGGGGACACAGGAGCCAGAACCGATGACCTAGCCCATATGCAGTGAAACCGAAATTGCCAACGATTACAGGTGTTCAAGGTGCCGGCAACCAGGCCACGTGCTTGACATTCATTCTGCCTTGTAATCTTTCCGGAGAGTTTTCCTCCTGACTGATCTCTGCAAGTCTACGTGGTTCCAGATTCCAAAATTAGGAGAACGAGAAACAGACCATGGCGGGGGGGCTGGCTGGGGGTAGGGCTGTGCAGTGACAGGGACCAAGGGACCCCTCCAGCTCTGGCCAAACTAGGAGGGACAAAGAGAGGAGGGTGGTGGGGGAAATGGGTGGGTCAGATCTTCCCACGACAGTAACACCAAGTCACTGCACGTGAAACTGTGACCTAACTGGGAAACCAGGGCAAATGGCCTTCCAACCCTCTACAGAAATCTCTCCAGATATCTGCGAGCAGAGCATTTAAGAATCACATAATTTTTTTCTTCTTGAAAGCATTATTCTATTATTACCATTACTAATTGAGCTCTCTTTAATATGAAATATATCCAACATGTTATTTTTAATTGTCACGGCAACACTATTCCTACTTTATAGATTAGGAAACTAGAGATTGAGCAACTTGCTTAAGGAACACAGTGAGAGTGGTCCTTTCACTAGATTTTGCCATTAATATATTTTAAAGATAGCTTCAAGGAGGTATAGTTGGCATACAATAAATCCACATATTTAAAGTAGATAATCTGATCATTTCTGATACAGGGAAACACCCATGAAACCATCACCACCGTGAAGAGAAGGGCCATTCATCATCCCTGAGAGGTTTCCTCAGGATCCTTTGTACTCCTTCATTCTGCCACCCGACTCCCAGGTAACCACTAATCTGCATTCTGTCACTATACAGGAGCTGCATTTGCCAGAATTGTATATAAATGGAACTATACAGTGTGGAATCTTTTTTGTCTGTTTTTTTTTTCACTCAGCCTAAGCCTAATTTCATCCATGTTGTTGCATGTATTGATAATTCATCCATTGTTATTGCTGAATGTCTAGATCACACTGTAGGTATATGTTTAACTTTTTAAGAAACAACCAAAGTTTTTCCAAAGTGATTGTCCCATTTACATCCCCACGAGCAGCGCATGGGCTCCCAGTTCCTCCACATCCTCAACACTTGGTATGTTTTTCGTTTTTTTCGTTTTTTATTCTAGCTCTTCTTATAGATGTGTAGCGTATCTACTTATAGTTTTAATTTGTCTTTCTCTGATGACTAATGACGCTGAGCATCTTTTTGTGTGCTTATTTGCTATTTGTCTATCTTCTGGGTTAAGTTCAAATCTTTTGCTCACTCTAAAACTTGGGTTGTTTTCTTATTATTGAGTTTTGAGAGTTCTTTATGTATTGTGGATACAAGTCCTATATCAGATGATTATTAGCCAATACTTTCTCCCAATCAGTAGCTTTTTTTTCTTCTTCATTTTTTTAAACGGTGCATTTTAAAGTGCGGAAGTTTTAAATTTTGATGAAGTCCAACTTATCCATTTGTTCTTTTATGGATTGTACTTCGGGTGTTGCACCTAAGAAATATTTGCCTTATCCAAGATCTCTAGGGTTTTCTCTTATGTTTAACCAAGAATTTTTATAGTCACAGGTTTTACATTTAATCTATGATCCATTTTGTGGTAATTTTTGTATGTGATGTAAGGTGTGAATCCCAGTTCATTTCTGCATATGAATATCCAAGTGTTCCAGCACACATACTGTAAAGATTATCCACTGAATTGCCTTTGCACCTTTGCTGAAGAGCAGTTTTTCCTATATGTGTGGTTTTATTATTTCTGGATTCTATCGTGTTCCATTGACTTATCTGTCTTTATGGCAATACCACACCGTATTGATCACTGTAGCTTTGTAATAAATTTTGAAGTCAGTGTAAGTCCTCCAACTTTGTTCTTTTTCAAAGCTGTTTTGGATGTTCTAGGTCTTTTCCATATGAATTTTAGAAACACTTTGTCACTTTCCACAGAAAAGCCTACTGGGATTTTGACTGGGGTTGCATCAAATATATAGATTGTTTCAGGGAGAACTGACAAAGTATCGAGTCTTCTGACCCATGAACACAGGTGTATCTCTACATTTATTTAGGTCTTTTAAAATTCCTCTGGGCAACGTTTTGTAGTTTTCAATGTGTGTCTTTCACATCTTTTATCAGATTCAGCTCCAAGTGTTTCAATTTTTTTCAGTGCTATCTTAAAGGGTATTCTTTTTTCAATTTCAATTTCCACTTGTTCATTCCTAGTATATAGAATTCAATTGATTTTTTTAATATACTGAAATTGTATCCTGCAACCTTACCAAACTCATTTTTTAGATTCCATTGGATTTTTATATATATCATGTTGTCTGTGAACAAAGACAGTTTACTTCTTCCTCTCCAATCTGGCTGCCTTTTATTTCTCTTACTTGCCTTATTGTACCGGCAGCACCTTTAGGACAAGGTTGAACAGAAGCCAGGGGAGCAGACATCATTGGCTTGTTACTGCACTTAGAGGGAAAGCACTCGGTCTTTCACCATTAAGTGTAATGCTAGCTTCAGGTTTTTTGTAGGTGCCCTTTTAGGGCTCTTCTATCAGACTCTCCAATTTGGGGGACAGCGATTTGCCCTAAGTCCTCACTTCTCTTACAGACCCTAGAAGAGTTACTGATTTTTCAAACCGTGTAGCTTTTTACTTGTTGTTAGCATGGAGTGGTGACATCCAAGCTCCTTACATGCAGAACCAGATACTGATTTATTTTAGAATATTCAACCATTTTGCATTCCTTGGATAAACCCCACTTGGTCATGATGCACTTTTATATAGTGTTGGATTTGATTTGCTAAAATTTAGTTTAGAGATTTTTGCATGAATGTTCATGAAGGATATTGGTCTGTAGTTTTCCTGTAATGGCTTTCTTTTTTTTCACCAAAAATGTAATGCTGGCCTCATAGAATGAGTTGGGAAGCATTATGTCCTTTACAATTTTCTTAACGAGTTATTTCTTCCTTAAATGTCTGGTAGCATTCACCACTTAAGTCCTCTAGGCTTGGAGTTTTCTTGGTGGGAATATTGGTTTTTTTTAAAATTTATTTTATTGAAGTATAATTGATTTACAATGTTGTGTTAATTTCTACTGTACAGCAAAGCGATTCAGTTATACGTAAATATACATTCTTTTTCATAGTTTTTTTCTATCATGGTTTATCACAGGATATTGAATATAGTTCCCTGTGCTATACAGTAGGACCTTGTTGTTTATCCATTCTATACATAATAGTTTGCATCTACTAATCCCAGCCTCCCATCCACCCTTCCCCCACCCTTCCTCCCCCTTGGCAACCACAA